ATTTATGGACAACCCCTAAGCAAGCAACAAAAAAGAAATATTTATAATCAATTACACCATAAAAAAAAAAAAATGAAAACGGTAAAAGATTACTACATCTGTAGAGTTGTCCAATATCATTTGTACACTTTTGTCCAAGATCATATGTACACTTTTGTCCGAGATCATCATCTGTACACTTTTGTCCAACATCATCTGTATTTTTTTTTTTTTTTTTTACTCTAACTACATCTGTCCAATATTATTTGGAAATTCAATGACTCCTAACAACATCTTTAGGAAAATGTAACTACATTTGGTAATTTTTCACCAAGTCCAATAACATCTGGAAGAATTTCCTCTTGATGTAAATGCATTTAAAAAAACATTATATGTAACTACATCTGGTTAAAATAATGCATTTATATTTAATATTTTTTTCCAGATGTAACTACATCTAAAAAAAAGCATATATGTAACTACATCTGGTTTAAATAATGATTATAATTTAATAATTTCATAAAATCCTGAAGCTATTTTTAATATAATTTAAAAGATGTAGGGGAGAGTGTCTAAAGAGCCAGTTTTAAAAAGGTATGAAAAAAAGTCAATTTTAATTAATTAAAAAAAAAAATTTCTTCAATTAAATAGTTATGTTATTGGGTAATATTATAAAATTAAAATAAATTGGATAACAAAAATAATATTTAATTATTAAAAAAAAATTATTTCAGCTTTAGTAAGAACTTTATTATTATTTGAATATATTTTTTAAGATTCAAACGCAAACCTACGTTTTACGACTTCAGGAAAAGTCATTCAAACAATTAATTTCAATAGAATATGATCAATAAAGCATTACGAAAAACAATGAAGTTGTTAATGCGCAAAACAGTTATTTAATTAAAAAAAAGATAAATAGGAAAGGCCGGTTTTTTCATAGCTTAAAAAACTGGCTCTTTCAAAAAATTTATGGATAAAAAAATAACCTGAAATTAAACATTTTTAAACTAAACTTTAATCTAATATTATTTGCGGAAAAGAAGGATACATTTATATATAACAATGCAGCATATATGTTTTATCAAATAATAAAGCATTCTTTATCTTAAATAGAAAACCCAAAAAAAATTACTTTTTATATTCAAAATTTTTAGTGCACCCTTACGATGCTATTTATTTTAGTAGAACTCTAAATTTTTTGTGGGTGACAGGTATCCAGCGTTGCCACACAAAAAGTAAAATACAATTATGGTTGGGTGCCAGTAAGTTAGATATAATAGCATCGGCTCTTTCAAAACCTGGCTCTTTCATACACACTCTCCCCTAACTACATCTGTAGAAATTAAAGATGCAGTTATACAGATGTTATTATACCTAGAAAATTGAAAAGATGTAACTACATCTGTCGTAATCATTTACTTTTTGCACATGTTATTAGACATCAATGAAATTTTAGATGTTGTTGAACAGATGTTATTATACCCCAGTGTATTTACAGATGTTGTTGAACAGATGTTATTAGACATAGCAAAAACTGATGTTGTTACCTTAAAAACATTTTACTTAATTTAGACACTTTTAAATCAATTGTCATAGATATGTTTTTCCTTGTGCACACAGATGTTTTTTAGTCTGAGGCTCATTACTTGTGCTTTTCTTTCAATTATTTACTGATTCTTTTCGATAGAAATGGTCCTGTCATTACACTACTTTAAAAAAAAAATACAACTCCAGCTGGATCAGATTGTTAAAAAGATTGGTCTGTAGTTAGCTAGCCAGCTAACTACAGACAAATCTTTTTAACATCAGTGGCTTAGTGTAATGACATCATAAAAAATACCATAATAAATCATCTAAACTCAAGCAAACTAATAAATTTAAATTAACATGTTTTATTAAAAACAAAGTTTGTATCAATTACAAACAAAAATTCAGTTAATATAATCTTTCTTGATTTCTCTATGTACTATATGTAGTTCTTGTGATTTCCACAGAAAAAGTATTAAAAAATGAGATTTAAGGCAAGTTTCACAAGCGACTGAATTTTTTTTTATATAATTAAACCAAAATGTTTTTTATTATCTAAATCAATGACCTTCCTAACCATCTTTCAGCCCTACACAAAATGTGTACTAATAAAACTATTACTCCCAATATTTACAGTGTCACTATTAGAAAACTTCATAATGATTCAAAAGAAAATGTTGGTACATAAATGAATACGTGTACTTAAACATCCATAAATGTGTACACAAGTATAAATAAATGGGTACATCAATAAAAAAGTTGTCCATATTAAGAAGCCGTTTGATGTATACCTACATGATCGGCATCAGTTTACTGTTTAATTTTATAAAACTATATTGTAATAAAATCTTGGTGTTTTAATACCTGACAGTCTTAAATCTTAGTTCAAGAAACCAAAGCAATTGCCTCAGCAACTAGAATGATCCATTAGTTAAAATATGCTTTTATCGACAGTGATTTTTATCTCTAGAAGCGATTATATACCTACAATGTGTGTCCACATCTTTTAATTTCTTTATTATTAAACATCTTTTTTAAATACCTCAAAAAAGATATCAATTTAACATTCACCAAAGTACCGCATGTCCTCAATATAATATGAACTAAGATAAAACAGTTAAAACAATTTTAAAATATTTTCTCTATTAAATGTTAGGCATTATTGTGACAATTTCAATGTTTTGTTCAACAATAAAAGATGTCAAACAAGTCTTGGAAATGTACAATGACATCACAGTTTATTGTCTGATTTCTCCTACAACTTATTAAATAATCAAAAAGCTTGACACCTTTTTTTTTTTAATCAAACATGTTACCTATTAATAGAAAAAACCTAATTGTTTACACAGCAATTCTAAATTGTTTAAAAATTGGGATATCACTAGATTTAATTAATTTTAGCAACTGCTACAAGTAGGCTTGATCGGGAAGCGGGTGCAATCGCACTTGATAATTGACCACTGAAATAATATTTAGTTGCTAAAAACCAGCCATTTTTTTTGTCGTTTTGAGAACATTTCAAAAACAAACAAAAAAGCGCAATAAGAATAACTGGACCGATGAGACAGTTAAAAAAAGAAAAATAGCTTTTAACGCAAAAAAACATTAAGCAAAATAAATACGATTAGAGCAAATATTTTTGAAACGTCGCTCTTTTATAACTTTTTTTATAAAATTAAGTGACATTTTTTATATAAAGTAACAACTTACTAATAATGATTGTTTAATAAGGAAACAAATGTTCTCCGATTTATCAAAGAGAATATAATTTTTATTTATATACTTGTCTTATTTCCAGTGCTGGATTGAGGAGGGGGGGAGTAGAGGGGCTATAGCCTCGGGACTCACAATGTTAGGGGCCGCGAAATAGTCAAGAGGACCCTTTTGTGGTCCTCTTGACTATTTGCAGTCCCCGGCCCTGAAAAGTCCAACAAGATTCAACTAATAAAACTAATGCTAGATGATTTATTTATAAATAAAAAAGTTTTTTCAATAACTGTTTTATGCTTTGCGCTGTTTGAAAAGTTTAGTACATTTGAAACAATTTTTCTTAGTATACTAAGAAAAATTGTTTCAAATGTGTTAAATATCTTTAAAGATGAACAAATGAAATAATTAAATCATTGAGTTTTTGTAGAAATTCAATTAGCTAAATAGAAATCAACTAAAAACGTTAAATTACTATGTGAGGAGGAAGCGGAACTGCTTCACAATAACGCTGATGATGTTTAGTTAGTGGGCTTTATAATTTTAATTAGTATTTAAAACAGAAAAAATTAACTTTAAGTTTAAGTATTACGAGTTTGTAAGAATGGCTGAAGCAAAAATAAATAAAGTTAGTAAATTAAAAACATTTATTTTTGTAAACAAATAATGTTAGTTTAAAAAATTTATAGCTTTGTAGATGTGGCTCCGAGAATTAAAATAATAGTTTGTTTTATAGTATATTCTTAAAACAATTTATGCTAGAAACCTCAACGAAATCATAACAAAACTCAAATAATACAATTTTTTTAAATATTTCAACAGAATACTCTAAAAATTCCGGTTAGTATTTTTTGAACCAATAGAATTAGTTGTTCGTAGATTTGGCTGGTTTTTTGTATTTTTTTTATTTTTCCGCACAAAGATGTTTGAGAACATTCGAGTTTATGTATGTTTCCATTTATGTCCGTAAACAAAATATTTCAAAAATTGTGATAAAATAATGAACTTAATTAAGGAAACATACATAAATTTATATGTTCTCAAAACGACTAAAATATCTGGCCGGTTTTTCGCAACTAAATATTATTTCCGTGGTCAGTTATCGAGTGCGATCGCACCTGCTTCCTGACCAAGCCTGGCTACAAGGCTTCACTGTTGACAAGCTCACACTATTTTAGCTAATGTTTAAACACAGTTTATGGTGTTGATAGGTTAAAGAAATGAAAGGCGAAGAATGAGGGTTACAGTACGTTAATAGCATTAAACATTACTTTAAGAGCTCTAAATCTTATTGCTAAAAATAATATCTTTGAAAAATATTCATTTTTAAAAACATAATTTTATTCAGTTTAAATTTTTTTGTAAATTGGAAGTTAACTGCATGGATTCATTTTTGGATTTTAATTGATTTTGGCTGTGTAGTTTTAAACTAGATGGATTGATTATTCATTAAAAGTCTATCTATCGTACGAAAATTGTTTTACCTACTTTTGTGTATTAAAAATATGATTCAAAACTTTAAATCTAATTTTAAAATTAGATTTAAAAGATTGCAAGACTAAAAAATTAAATATTATGTTTTTCAGATTAATAAAATGTTTTACTAAATAAATGAAAAATAATAAATAAATGTTTTACTAAACAAAGTAAATAATTTTATAAATAATAAAATTATTTACTTTAATTTCGAAATTATGCTTTTCAATTGTACTAATATTTAAAATTGATTATATATTTTTTTTGTAAATCTTTTATTATGATTATTAATTAACAAACTCATTTAGCATTTATCTCAATAAACGATTTCGAAGTGAACTTGAGAAAAGATACATTGACGAAAAGCGCCCTAAGCCTGGAGACGAATTGTTACCATATCCTCCAACTAATCGGTTTGTTACAATTTTGGCTCAGCGCCATGTTCAAGTATGTTGTTTCTAAAAGTTTTAATTAAAATTATTTCTCATATGTAGGGCTCATTGTACTCTTTAAGTAATACCTTACACATGCAAAGGTTAGAAAGAAATTGATGCAAACTATAAACAATTTGAATTAGGTTATTAAATTAAAAAGTCAGTTTCAGTTGTTTTTTTTTATTTAGTGTGTTATAAAAATGGTGAAGAAATGTTTTATTTCTCATTCATATTAAAGTAGAACTTTAGTTGCAAATGTAAAAAAAGTAAAACTTTAGTAAAGAATGAGAAACATCTATTTTTTTAGAATTAAAACTAAATTTTAAGTTTTTTGTGTTATTAGGGTTAAATTACATTCATAACACATTAAACTCATGTATATATGAGTAAAAATAATGTAATGTTTTATAATTTATGATAATGTAACATTTTATGATAATGTAATATTTTATGGTATGTAATGCTTTATGAAGCTACTTTTACTTATCACAGAAGAAAAAGTTATACAATGTAGTAAGAAAAAGTTATACAAGGTAGTAAAAGGAAGAGAACAACTAAAAATCTCACCATCAATTTTTTTTTTTTTTTTTTTGTCAAATACCAGAATCTATAGCAGGCTTGGACAAGAATGGCATGCGATCGCACTCTGTAACTCACCATTCTAATTTTTTTTCCTTTACAACTGACCACGGCTATTTTGATGTTATAACAATTTAAATGCAATAAAATGTGTTATATTATGAAAAACTTTAATTGTTGATCTTTTCTAAAGTTTTTATTTTGTGTGAAGGTTTTAAATAAAACCATAAAAATTAATTATAGTGATTGTTTACATAAACGCATGTGTAAATTAATAAAAAATATTATATAATTTTTTTTTATGTGGGCATGTATTACTTATGATAAATTTAAACGTTTGAAACTATTTATCCATTTCTTCTTAAAAATCTTTTAAACTATTTTTTTTAGAAAAAAATTTTTTAAGTTACTTTAATTTATGAATAAGTTCAAAACCTTTTGTGACAACTAGCTTTTACACATTTTATGTGAATTATACAAGAATATAAAATAACTTTATTTACTTATATAAGAATGTATTTTGTTGATTAATGGAAAAGTTAAATCATTTTGTAATGTTGAAAAGTTAAATCATTTTGTTCATACGATTAATTTTTCATACAATTCATTTTTATTTAATTAAGTTCATACGATTCATTTTTATTTAATTAAGTTCATACGATTAATTTTTATTTAATTAAACTTACGTTTTTTAAAGTCTAATTAACAAACATTTTATTAAAAAAAAAAAAAAAAATTCTTTCAATTACAATAGGAATGAATGAGTTTAAATCTTTTATAATAATTTTTAACTTCATTACTTGAAGCTCTTATTGATAACGTCATAACGCTCAAATTGCTTTTGTTTTATTTATATCGCAGGCGCACTTTATTTATTATTTCCTATTTTTACGAATAAAAAAGTTTAAACACTTTTTTTTTTAACTAGACACTAATTAGAGCATGAAATTGTTAAAAGTTATTATTTTAAAAAGAATACTTTTTTTTTTTAAACAATTTTTTTTTGCGACTTTTTTGAAAAAATAAATGTTCATACAATTTAAACATATTTTATATACAACATTTTAAAATAAATTTGATAAAATTTGTTTATTTATTAAACAATCATTAGTAGCAGGGCTTTGGAGGCGAGGTCTAAAAACTGGCTCCAGGCTCCAGCTCCATTAGAATTTTTGGCTCCGACTCCATCTCCGGAGCAGCTATACAAAAAAAACACAAATCAAAAAAATTTTTAAATGTTTTATGCCAGTAACTATTAACATTTTGTTAATCAAAATCTTGATTCATCCTTAAAAATAAATCTAAAATATCAGGTTTAACTGAAGAATGTAGATCGCTCAATACAAAGTTAAGAGCAGAAAATAGCCTCTCTACACTTGCTTGTGAGATAGGTATACAAGTGACAACTCTGCATGCTTCTTGTATTCTTTTTGGGTATTCTTCAATTCACTCAAAAGCTGAATTCACTTTAGAATGTCCCATTTCTTCCATCCTACAGTTGTCCAAATAATTTGTATTAAAAGTATTTTTATCAAAAAAATTAAAAAAAGAAGCGTGACCAAAATTAATTTTGGTCATACTTCTCCTTTTTTCTTTTTTATCAAGCTCTTTTTCAAAGTCATCCTCTTCTCCATCGGAATTAGATTCACTTTAAACTGAAAGAAGTATTGTAGATAGCACAGCAGTATTTCTTATTTCTTGTTTTTCTATTATATTCTTAGCATCGCTTTTATAAATTTTTTCTGCTATTATTTTTAAGGCTTGTTTAGCTCGTAATATTTGTTTTACTTCTAATAGTATTCTATATCTAGCATCAACATAAACTGCAGCTTAAAATATATCATTATCAAAAATGATTTTTCTACTTGTTTTTGCATAGATTTTGAAATGTCTTCTGCAAATAGTCTTTGATTCTTCTCTAGGTCAGACTTCAATTTCAACCATTTCTTTACCAACTCTCCTGGAGTAAGGCCGATTAACTGTCACATCATGTGACTTTTGTGGAATATCTTCCACCATTTTTTTGATAGCAATAAGGTTGTGCTGTCCTTGTGTATCTATCAGTATCAAAATTTTAAAATTTTTTTCGCATAGTAATATTGAATATTTATCTTCAAACAGTTATTTTGGTGTCGAGTGGCTGCATCTATTTTAACATAAATAAATTTCTGTAACAATATTTCCTTTATTTCAGCTTCTATTTTTTTCAGCAAATTCATTAATCAAATTGCATACAGAATTGTGTCCGATACTAATTCCAAGAGTTTTACATAATTGGCCTGTAACCAACTAAAAATTTTTCATCCGCAAATGTTTTCAACAAAATTCTGTTATTCGCTACCATTTTAATAATTCCAATTTTAAAATTTTTAGCACTATTTTGATTTATTGTTCAACTACTAGCAGTAACAAAAGAATCTAAAGTAATCTGTTTAGTTTTTTTAGTATTGAAATCTTGTGAATGTGATAAAATAATTTTGAAGATTTTCTTTGGGCCATAAGGTTCATTTCAGATTCAACAATTTTATATTCTGATAGATGTGATCTTTCCAAATGCCGTTTCATATTGTAAACTTTTTATTTTTTTATTTGCATGGCGCATAAAATCACTTTATCATTTAACTTTTCTGTAATCTTACATGTAACCAGTTTTGTAGTTTTATCAATTGAAAAATACTTATTAGAAATCTCTCAGGATCGTTTGAGTTTGAAGCTATTTTTATAAAAAACTATGATAATAAAGTAAATGACAAATTTTAAAGATAAGAGAAATAATAAAAGATAGTATAAATAAAAATAATATCAATAATGTAAAAAAAAAAAAAACATTAAAATTTTTTTATCATTTTATTTGGAACTTATATAAAACTGTTTATATCTATTTTGAAAATGTTTCAACTAATTAAAAATGTTAAAACAAATCGTGACTTAACACATAGATAATGTATTTTGTTAAGGATCATCCATAAAGTATGTACATAAGGTACACTTATCATATTCTGCAATAAGAACCACATGACATCTTACATAAAATAATTGGAGAAAAATTAAATTCTGAAATAATTTTTCTTTTTGTTTATAAATCTTATGAAAAAATGCATTATTTAGAAATTATAATTATTTTAATGAGCGTAATTGTTTAAATTCTAAAAAAAAATTTCATTATATAAAATAATAACTTTATGGAAATTTGATATTTCAAATTATCAAAAGGGTGGAGCTCGCTTGGAGCTGACTCCATAGCCAGCTCCGGCAGGAAACATTTTAGCTCCAGCTCCGGATAGCTCCGGAGCTGCTCCGAAGCAGTAATTCGTTACTTTTAAAAGCGTTTAAATTTGTTACGTTTAAAAGCGTTTTGCTTAACTTTAATAAAACATTTAAAAAGATAAGTTTTATTAACATTTATTTCAAACATAATTAAAAACGTAACAAAAAGTTTCGCTTCTAGTTTAAGTTTTTATTTTTATATTAGTGCTTATATAATTTCTTTTTTCGTATAAATTTTTTTTTTTTTGTTTTTTTTTTTTAACTTTTTTCCTAGTTTAAGTTTGGCTTAGCGCTTCTACATTCAGCGCATTTCTTAAATGTTTAAATCATCAAAACATATAAACAATTGTGGTCAAGTTGTCATAAAATAAAATCATTAGCGTGGTCAGCAATAGCGCTCAATGACACGCCATTTCTGTCCAAGCCTGTATAGCCATTTTAGTTTAAATTATAGGTTGCATTCTAGATACTTCGGCGATTCCTTTGAAACGTGTTTAGTTCAGTATTTGACGTCATGGTAGACTTTTGACAAATGAAAAATGAAATTAAACAAAGCTACGTTTTTCTACTTTAATTCAATAAGTACGTCGTAGTATTTTTTTAACATGCAGCAAAATGAATTTATTTGTATTTTTCCAAACATCGCAAAAAAAAATTTGTAAAAAGTAAAAATAATAAGTTATATTTATTTTATAAAAGCAACTTATTTTTTACAGATATCTTAATAATTTTTAGATTTATATATCTTTATATCTTACTTGTATTTCTTTTGTTTTTAAATTGAAAAAATATTAAAGCTTTACTTACCAATCTTATGATTTCCATACGAGTATTTTACATTGTATAGAACATTATATATACGGTCTATCGTTTTTGTGCGTGAGAGCGCAGTATTATATATTCTGAATCTTACTTATTTTCATTTAAACAATGGTAACTATTTTCTAACTTCTGGTCATTTTTATGCTATGACATTTTTTATTTTCCAGTCGAAAAAAGTATTTATTAACAATTACTTTCATTAGCTGACAGTATTAATTAGAGATATTTGATGAACTATTAAATTTATTTATTATTAAAAATTTTTGATTATTCTGATTTAAGTTAAATTGCTAAATTGAAAATGAATAAAAAGGAAATTTCTTTATATTTTGCATTTGATTTTTG